AATATTAGTCTTAACAAAGATTCTAAGGCTTACAGTACAGTTTTAGTTAACGCATAATTTTAGTCTTACAAGGAAAGTACCCGACCTGCCCCTCTTTGATTGACTTCAAACTTTTTATTTAGGAAGATCATGTAAATATAAGATCATCAGCAAAATACTAAATTGCGCCTTCCAGTCAATCTCGAGAAAATCGAGATCAAGAAACTGCGTTCTGAATTTCCCGCCAAATTGGCATTGTGTTTCAAGCTTATAACTTTGCCATTTTTTGAATTTAAGGCATTTTTCTTTGATATACTAGTAGAATACCTTTAAATTAACTTACATTTTTAAATTTGTAAGCGCAGCTTGCCTGGAAAGTAAAAAAAACTGCTTGAAACACAATGCCAAACTTGCCGAATTGGCAGGAAAACAAAATAATTCAAACTTAAAGCTTAAAAGCGCAAACTAAAATTTTTTATAGGTACTATTGGTAGTACAAAGAATTCATATAAAAATTTTGAGCTGATTCTGAGCGGGGCAAGTAGGGTACTTTTTCTGTCAATACATATCCTTAAAATCAGATATTTTACAAATTTTAAAATTTTTTTTAAGTTTGTTAATACTCTTAAATTCGATGTGACGCAAAGTGTAGTCCAAAATGCCTTAAATATTGCATGAAAAACGGTTGTTTTCTTTTGCCAATGCATTTTTAAACAATGTGGGAGTCATAATGCGAAACAGTTTTTGAATGTCCCTGCTTTAGGGATATAATATTTGAATTATGCAGTATCGTCTTGTTATGAGGAATAACTTGGTTTTACCTTATTTTACTGTTAGGTCTGTCAATCAGCTTTGGGATGGTAAAAAAAGAGGGTGTGGGGGTGGGTTAAAAGCTCAACATAGCCAGCTTATGTGATTGTTCTTAACATCCTAATTTTTTTTAAAAATTAACAGGAGGTAGCACGCTCAACTTTATTGAAGTTTTTTGTGTCGCCTTGATGAAGACCTTTCTAAAAAATGAAAAAAAAATTTTTTTGATTCAAAAAATACATTAAGTATTGGAAATTAATGTTGGTATGTCTTTTCTAGTGACATGTTCGTAATCGCATACTTCCGGAACGAAAAAATGTGGAGTCTAGGTTACGTTGAAGGTGTTCATTCTGTGTTATTTTGTTTGAAAAAAACAAATTCTGTATAGTTTTCGCTAGAATTGTGTTTTTTAAACCTTATGGTAGGTTTATAATAGGTCTAGTTGTATGCTATAAGCCTGTTTTGTTTTTTAATAGTAAATTTGGTTTACTTTTAAAATAAGCTTATTATAAGTCATAAACCTAATTTTTAACCTTGATGACATTTTGAATTATTAAGTTGGACCAAAAGTAGAGGGACACTTTTTAGTTGACAAGTAAACGAAAAGTGTCCCGCTACTTTTGGTTCAATTTACAAGGAAAGTACCATACCTGCTTCGCTCAAAATCAGCTCAAAATTTTTATATCAATTCTTTGTACTACCAATAGTACCTATAAAAAATTTTAGCTCGCGCTTTTGAGTTTTAAATTTGAATTATTTCGGTTTCCCGCCAATTTGGCAACTTTGGCATTGTGTTTCAAGCACTATTTTTTGACTTTCCAGCTAAGCTACACTTACAAATTTAAAAATTTAGGTTTATTCATAGGTATTCTACTAGTATATCAAAGAAAAATTATGAAAAGTCAAAAAATGACAAAGTTACAAGCTTGAAGCACAATGCCAAGTTGGCGGGAAATTCAAAATGTCATTTTTTAATCTTGATTTTCTCGAGATTTCCTGGAAAGCGCGATTTAGTACTATGCTGAAGATGTTATGTTTAAATGATCTGCCTATAAAAAAAGTTTGAATTCAATCAGAGCGGGGCAGGTCAGGCACTTTCCTTGTTAATAATTTTTTTCATTTTAAAATTTGCAAAAATTCCGAAATAAAAGGTTAAAGCCCATTGGCGTCAAAATTCACACCTTATTCAAATATTTGTTAGGTTATTGACACCACCAAAAAAACCCTCTTCAACCGATGGCCACTAGAAATATACTTGAAATGTGATACTCTTCTCGAAACCTTTTCCTTCGTCTAAACCGCCGTTTTTTGCCGTCCTGGATTTGCAAGTCTCGCGGAATTTATTGTTTTTCTTTAATTACTCGTTTTGGCTTGTTGTTGCTAGTTAGCTAATTGTTATATTTTCAAAGAATGTTGTGTTATACGTGTGGTTTATTTGGTAAGGGGATTGAAATTATACGTTTTGTGTATTATATTATAGTAGGTTAGACATGGATTTTGTAGGGTAGGGTAGGAAAGAGTATGGTAGGGTAGAACGTTTACTTTTCATTTTATCTTCCCATTCTTTTCACAACTTTTATTATTATATATGGTTACTTACTATTAGGTTGAACCAAAAGTAGCGGGACCCTTTTACTTACTTGTCAACTAAAAACTGACCTATCACTTTTGGTTCAACCTAATATTCTTTTTGTTATAACACATCCAAACTGCCATCACACATTCTCCAAACCCGTACTTTAATCACGATGTCGCTTATGGGGTACGTAAATAGTGAAACACATAAGCCATACCACACCCCTTTGGCCCTAAAAGACACCTTTTCGAAACGCGTTAAAATTTGATGAATGTGGCCCGTATAAACGCTTTATATCGAATAACACCGTGCTTTAGAGGGCCTGTTTACTTTGATGCCAGATGGTCGATGAGTGTGTCGTAAATTTTGTGGGTTATCATAACTTATGATCACTTGTTTTTTATAGGGTCCTAATGGATTTGTTAATCAGTTTTTGGGGGTTTTTGGGTAATGACTGTAGGTTTATGTTTTAATTGAGTACAAGGGTTGGACTAGGTTAATTATTAGCGGTTTTTATTGAAATTTAAACAATGACTTTTAAACCTATTAGATTGAACCAAAAGTAACGTGACACTTTTCAATATTTTTCAATTTTTCAATAAAAGTTCAAAAATTTTGAAAATTTAAAAACTTTTTAATTACCATTACTTTTATATCTCCTTTTTCATTATACCTTTTTTCCAATTCGACGTATATTCGAAAACGTTATAATTGGAGGTATTATACGTAATGAGTCCTTGTTCACACCTACACTTTCATTTTATGCCGTATGATGTACGTTTTCACATCAAACGTAACTACTCGTATTGTTTAGCGGGATCTTTAGCTTGCGTGTGAAGTCCTGACGATATAAGTTTGGCAGAGAAAGTAAAATTGGTTGTAGTGGATAAAGCTGAGGGGCAGGGCCGGGCAGGGACTTTTAGTTTAGTGGGGGGGGGGGTCGAAAAAATCGGCAGAGAGCTATATGGCCGATTTGCAAAATTTTTTTTTGTAAAGATCCACAGGGGGGACCACGTTCAACTTTTTTCGAAATTTTTTTTGGGGAATTCGAAAAATTTTAAAATATTTTTTTAAGATGAAGCCTTGATTTTTTCAAAAAATGACATGTTTTACAAAAATACAATCCCAAAATGACATTTTGAACTCTTTGCGGTAACCACAACATCACCCCTGGTCCCTAAAACATAATCTTTCTCGGCCGTTTTGTGAAGACAAATCCCCGTGGGCTGGGGCAAGTATAATGAACCTTGACTTTCTTATTGCCTTTCGACGAAAAAATTCATTTTTCCCTGTGTCTTAATTTCCTTTTAGCGTGCCGCCGACCCCACAGCAATAATAGGCTTGTTCACAACGTGTTTAACAAGTTTGATGGATTTTGTGGGATGGTGGTGGGGCTAATAAGGACTGGGGATGTATAGGGTGGTTTAAGGGTATTTTGGACCATTTTATGAAGGGGTAGGGGTGAAATGGAAAAAAAAAATTTTTTGGGGGGGGGGGGTAAAAACTTGAAATTTTTTTTTGATTTTTTATTTTTTTCCCCCCCCCCCCCCCCCTCCCTCACTCAAAAAAATATTTCACTAGCACTACCCTTCTCCTCTCTCACTCAAATTATCGTTTGTTAACCCCCCCAAAAAAAAGCGTTGTGTTCGAATATTACTGTAGTCTTTGTGAAATCTGCACCGGTTCATTGTTTTGTTCCGAGGGTGCTACGTAGTACAAAAACAATCTTCTCTCTTTGCACTAATTGTTGAGCGGTTTGAAACTTCTCGCCTTTCAAAGAGCTCGAGAAAGCGCTAATTTTTAATTGCCTTCTCCGGATTTTCGAAAACGCTTGCAAATTGTTTTTGTTGGTTTTAAAAGTATATCATTACATGTTCTTTACTTACAAGTTGGGTACAATACTAACTTACTAGTTAGGTACAATACTACCTTACCGGTTAGGTACAATAGAAAATAGAAAATTTTTATTATAAGAGAAGATATTAGGTGCCGACATAAAGAACCCGCCATTTTTCTTAAATGTGTGCGATGTTACCTAATTTAATGATATAATTTAGTCGCCTTAGAGAAATTGTCAGAAATTTTGTTGCGCAACTTTTATTGTGTAATGTTTATGGCTTCTGTAATATTTGCCTCGATGTAAAACGACTCAACAAATTACTGCGAGTACAGCACTCTGGCTTTGTGTTACTGCGAGGCTTACTGTGCTTTAGCTAACTAAGCCTACTAAGCCTAAGCCTACTAAGCCTAAGCATAATAAGCCTAAGCCTACTATGTCTTAGCCTACTAAGCCTATGCCTACTAAGCCTAAGCCTACTAAGTCTTAGCCTACTAAGCCTATGCCTACTAAAGCTAAGCCTACTAAGCTTAAGCCTACCAAGCGTAAGCCTACTATATCAAACATTATCAATAAATCATTTCTCGTGATTTTAAAAACGTTTGATTAATCATATGCTTTTCCCAATGTACTATACTCCAATTTCAGGCCATTGACAAGATACCGTTACCATTTGTCACAGCGTTCATGCCCTGAAATGCCGGGGTGGTAGGCCCAAAAAACACACAGTACATACACATTGTTGTTGATTAATTTATTCCCACAACAATATCGGCGGGGGGAACCAGTGGTCCCCACATGAACACCCATTCAACATCGGGCGGTCGGTAACGCCGAGCGAACAAACACCGTCGTTGGTTTCACCTTTTCATCGACGCAGGCCCCGATCTCAGGGAGCGCCAGCATAAAGTAGGTTCTTTGGGGGTTTTAGGGATTATAGTATTTGAAAATCTACTTTTTGGCGTTGTACTGTACTAAAAACTTTTAAAAAAATTAGAAATTTTCAAAAAATTGAAAAAAAACTTCCAAAAAACCACCTAAAAACCTCATTTTAGTGGCGAAACGTGGCCTGGTAGCGCCGCAGAACACGTTCCTCGAAAATGTGATACGACGATGTAATAATACAGGTAACACCCACATTAACAACTGTCATTGTTTGTGTTTTAGATTGCAGCTTCATTCTTGCCAATGCGCAAATTGTCGACTACCCCATCGTCTACTGTAACGATGGGTTTTCGAGGATGATCGGGTACACGAGGGCTGAAATCATGCAGAAACCTTGCTCGTGAGTTTTTTTTTGGGCTGGGAGGGGAGGGGGGGGTAAAAAATATTTAAACCGTTTTTGGGATGGGTAAAAACAAAAGACATCTTAGGCCGATCGGAAATTTTTGCAAATTTTTGGGCGTGCTAAAAATGAAAAAAAAATTGGGCAGGGCAAAAATTTTTAGAACTCTTTTGGGTTAGATGAAAACAAAAAATATCTTGGGTTAATCTGAAATTTATGAAAATTTTTGGGCATGGTAAAAATGAAAAAAAAATTTCGGGCGGGATAAATTTTATTAAAACGTTTTTTGGTTGGGTAAGGCAAAAAATCATGTTGGGTTGATCTGAAATTTCTGAAAGTTTTTGGGCGTGTTAAAAATGAAAAAAAAAATTTTTGCGGGGTAAAAATTTTTAAAACCTTTTTTTTGGCTGTGTACAGACAAAAAATATTTGGGCGGATCGGAAACTTTTAAAAATGTTTGGGCGTGGTAAAAATGAAAAAAAATTGGGCGGGGTAAAATTTTTTTTTGTTTTTTTTGAATTTTCTGACTTTTTTGAAAAAATATTGCTATTACATCTCATTTCAGACTTTCTTTTACATATGGAGACAACACAGACCTGGAAACAATTCAAAGGTTACAGTTCGCTTTTGACAATGCAAAAACAGAGCAAGCTGAAATATGTGTTCAGAAAAAGAATAGTAAGTATTAGAATAGTTGGACTGGGGTGTTGTTCGTATTGAATGCTCTGTATTAGATGCCGGCATAAAGAACCCGCCATATTTTGCCTGTAATTTTTTGTAAAAATGGCGGGTTCTTTATGTCGGCACTTAATAATTTTGTTTTACTGTACTGAGAATATTATCATTTTACTACACTGACAATACTAAAGTTTATTATATTGAGAATACTATCATTTTACTATACTGAGAATGCTAATTATGAATGAAAGTTGCAAAGAACTGCACTTTAAGCCAGGTGCTACAAATCTAGACTCTTATCATAATTAAGTACTCACTTTATATGAAACATGTATTATTTGTACATTTGGAAAGAAAATTGCTATACATATTCATCTTACTGTTTTGTATGAGTTTGGTTTTATAGCAGCATATGTTTTAGTATTGCAAAATATTGTAGTACAGTACGGTCTTCTTATTTACAAAATTGTATTTTATTTTGTATATGGTCATTTCTACTATATTTTATGCAGAATTGTGTATACATTAACGTATTAGGTAGTAATATGCAATAAGGTATCATATAATAGTATACAATAAGGCGTTATGTAGTATTATGTATATACAATATGTCATATCTTATCATAAATACTTTCAGAATCTCAAGTATGGCTTCTAGTTCACGTAGCGCCGATAAAAGATGACAAAGGCCGGGTGGTGTTGTATTTATGTCAGTTTAAGGATATAACGCCGTTAAAACAACCTCTAGATGATGAAAACAATAAAGGTATGGTAAAATGCGTCAATAAAGTAACCTATTTTGTAAATTTCTGTACTATACCAATTTTTATCTGCCATGTTATATAGGTATATAAAGCCGAACTCGGGCGTATAAGACTTCATTATTGGGTTTGCTAAGCCTACAGCTAAGCCTAAAAAGCTATGCCTAAAGCTAAGCCTAAAGCTAAGCCTAAAGCTAACCCTAGAGCTAGGCCTAAAGCTAAGCCTAAAGCTAAGCCTAAAGTTAAGCCTAAAGCTAAGCCTAAAGCTAAGCCTAAAGCTGAGCCTAAATCTAAGCTTAAATCTTGTATTTTTCAGTACTAGGCCTGAGTAGGATATTACAAATAGCACGAATAGCCAAATCACGACAACAATTCAATCAGATCGAGACCAAGGACCTGCACAAGGCCGGGAGTGGAGTTTCGTCGCATTTTAACCAGGTAGTCTTGGGTTTTAGGGGAGGTCGCTTGAGTTTGTGCGTTTCCACACCCCACCAATTCCTTATTTGGTTCTACCGCATGCTTACAATCAGTGTTTTGCCGGACCGGTCCGGAACGTTTTTTTTTGGGTCCGGTCCGCCCTTAAATTTTTTTCGTGTGTCCGGACCGGGCCGTAAATTTTTTCAATCGGTCCGGTCCGGCTCCATTTTTTTTGGACCGGTCCGAACCGGACGGGTCCGGCAAACCACTGCTTACAATTCTTGTCTTGGAGGTGGTGTGTAACATTTTTAAAATTTTTGATTTTTTAAAAGTTTTAAATTTAAATTGGCATTGTTGTCTAGTGTGATCTTACTATAAAGTAAAATGTGTTACACATGCTTCCAAGATGATGCTTTTGCTGTTGTCAACCCGAATGTGCAATATGTGAAAACAACGTATATAATTTGTTATAGTTACATTAGATTTTCATTTTTAAAACTTTAAAATGCCTTGATTTCAAATTGAAATTCTAAAAACATGAAAAGCATCGTACCATACTAAGAATGTAAATATTGTACCATAGAGGTTACATTATTATGCCACAAATACAGTAGAGACATATGACGCTTTGCTGTTTTTAATTTTGCATTGCCTACACTTAAAAAGCTTAAGCATTTTTAAATATTAGGCGCCGACACAAAGAACCCGCCATTTTTTACAGCAAATTACAGGCAAAGTATGGCGGGTTCTTTATGTCGGCATCTAATACTTGAAAAATATTATGGTAGTTTTTTGAAAAAAAAATAAAATAAATTACACTTAATATTCACTGCTAAAGTAAATATTAGGTAACAATTTGCAAAAACACAGCTATAAGAGTGTTAAAAACACGTTACGCTACGCAAAACCGCTACACAGACACTGGTTAATCTTGAATAACAAGGGAAATTCAAAGTTTAAAACGAGGTTTTTTTAATTTTTTAACTTTTTTTAAACATATTTTGGCTTTTGACTCAATTTCATACCTAAATTAAGGTTTTTAGCTGATTGTTCATCTAAAATAAGCTGTTTTAGACGATTAAAAATTTATTTTGAAGACGATTTTATACCTAAAATAAGACTTCAAAGTCTATTCGAATCTTAAATTTTCCAAATTTTTTATTTTTCAAGACTAACTGTTACCCAAAAGCCGATGCTTAAGTTTTGCCACGATTGCACACGGTTTGGCAACAAGTAAGAGCGACTTCTTTCCCTAAAAATCCCCCGCGCGTTGCCCTAAAGTTTTCACAAATTACATAATTCGTCAGCAGTTGATGAACCTGGGCGGTGATATGCTTCCACAGTATCGGCAGGAGACTCCAAAGACCTCGCCTCATATTATACTGCACTACTCCACCTTCAAGACGGTGTGGGACTGGTCGATATTGGCATTGACGTTTTATACGGCCTTTATGGTACCATTCAATATCGCCTTCAAGAATAGGGATGTACCGCCTAAGGGCATGATTGATTATGTGGCGTTGATGGATTCGATTGTTGATGTTATTTTCTTCGCCGACATCTTGTTGAACTTTCACACCACTTTTGTTGGTCCTGGCGGAGAGGTGAGGGTTTTATAAGGCTTCTCATAACTTATTTTTAAAAAAGTTTGTTATATTTCAATTTTAAAATTAAAATTTTGAAAAGAGACAGCTATTAAAGAGAAAATTATATTTTTCCAATAATTTTGTGACACTTCGTCTAAATAATAATTTTATTTCGAAATTAGATTTTTTTTTATAATTCTATGGTACAATATTTTAGGTAGTAATAGAACCATCAACAATACGAAGGAATTACTTCAAATCGTGGTTTGTGATAGACTTGTTATCATGTTTGCCTTATGATATCTTCTACATGTTCAAGCATGATGATGAGGTATGTTTTTACTACTTTTTTTAGTAATTTTAGGTATGATTCTCGATTCTTTATCTACTTCGGTTGATAAAGTTGTTTGATAGGTTTGGGTATAACAGAAGATTGTTATATTGTTTTAGGCATAAATCAATTATTTCGGAGTTTTTTAGGTATAAATCATATTTTTATTGAGAGTTTTAGGTATAAACTAGACAGTTTTTGTTTTTTAGGTATAAAATTTCATGTTTTTACTTAGTTTCTAGTCAATTTTGAACAAAAACAAGATAAAACGTTCAATATTATACATGTTTTTGATGCTGAACTTTGTTTTTTCTTTCTTTCTGTAACAAATCTTTAAATTTGTTACCTAAGATACTTTTTTTTCAGCGGATAGGATCCTTGTTTTCGGCGTTGAAAGTAGTGCGATTGTTAAGATTGGGGCGGGTGGCACGAAAGCTGGACAACTATCTGGAATACGGAGCTGCCACCCTGCTATTGTTGTTATGTGCCTTTATTCTTGTTGCTCATTGGATGGCGTGTATTTGGTATGGTATTGGTGATTGGGAGATACGGCAGAAGGTCCAGGACCCGTTTCGACCGGATTCGTGGCTCATGAAGCTGTCGCACGACCTGAAAATGCCGTTTAATTTCGCAAACTCGACGTCGACAAGGCTGGTCGGAGGACCGGATCGGGTCAATGCGTACATGTCGGCATTGTATTTCACTTTGAGTTGTATGTCTACGGTTGGGTACGTTTTTGGGTTTGTATTGGATGGAATTTTGGAGGTGTTTAGACCTATTTTAGGTATTAAAATGATAAAATTTGGCTGAAAAACATGCAAAACTTTAAAAAATCGGTTTAGATTTAATGAAAATTTTAAAATTTTTTTAGAGTATTTGAAAGTACTGTTTTTGTACTCAACTTCTACCTTTTTCAGCTTCGGCAACATAGCATCAACCACATTTTTGGAGAAAAGTTTTGGTGTCTTCCTCATGATAATATCCGCTCTGTTATACGCCATGATATTTGGTCACATGACCACGATTATCCAACAGATGACCTCAGCCACAGTCCGTTATCACGAGATGATTTCGAATGTTCGAGAGTTCATAAAACTTCAAGAAGTGCCAAGAGAGTTGGCAGAGCGAGTTATGGATTATGTGGTATCCACATGGGCAATGACAAAAGGCATTGACACGAATAAGGTGTTGGGGTATTGTCCGAAGGATATGAAGGCTGATATATGTGTACATTTGAATCGAAAGGTGTTTAACGAGCATTCTTGCTTTCGCCTGGCTTCTGACGGGTGCTTGAGGTCGTTGGCTATGTATTTGGAGGTGAGTCGGGGTGGTTTTTGGGGCTTGACATTACTTCTACTTTTATTTGTACTTCTGCTATTACCTCTAACATTACTGCTACCCAACAATCCTTCCTTTTATTTAAAAATGCATTTACAGAGTAACCACGCCGCGCCGGGCGATCTCCTCTATCACACGGGTGAATCGGTCGATGCATTATGGTTTGTCGTGTCGGGTTCTTTGGAAGTGATTCAAGACGAAGAAGTTGTGGCCATATTAGGGAAGGGAGATGTGTTTGGCGATGAGTTTTGGCAAAGTCCTCATTACAAACCCGGCCAATCAGCGGCCAATGTGAAGGCTTTGACATATACGGATCTGCATATGATAAAACATGAAAAGTTGATGGATGTGTTGAACTTCTACAAGGCTTTTGCCAATTCATTTGCGAGGAATTTGGTTCTCACTTACAACTTGACTCATCGGGTGGGTTTTGGCAGTGTTTTTGATGTTTAAGCTGAGACTTTTATACAGTTTTTGATAAAAATGATGTTTTTTGTTAATTTTAGGTAATAATTTAGGTTTTTTAGCTAATTTTAGGTAATAAATTATGTCTTTTAGCTAATTTTAGGTAATAAAATAAATTTTGTGTAAAAACTTTCTCAAAAACATTTTTTTAATCAACTTTTATAACTTTAGCTATGAAAACTTTGATTTTAGTTGAAATTCCGAAAAGTTGTGGACGTGAAACGAGAGAAGGAGCTAGATGAAAGGCGGAAGAATGAGAAGCTGGACATTTCTGACGATCATCCAGTCCGAAAACTGTTGCTACGAATGCGAGAACGGCACGCTATTCATCGAATGGGAAATCATACCGTGGATTTGGAAAAGGTTTGTTTTTTACTTAATTTTTGTGGTTTTAGGCTACTATAATATCGTGGAAAATGAGAAATTTGGCTACTTTTCAATGTCATAACTAGTTTTTAATGGGTTTATATTTTAAAATGACTTTTTTCAAAGATCAACCCAAAAATTACAGGGTAACTACCGCTCAACCCTCTCCAACTCAACTCACTCAATAAGTCATGTCGACGAGACTATACCTCATCATCCTCGTCGAGCACCATCCCAACAATCTCCAACACCTCCACGATCGCCGAGCTTCTTGGGAAGGAGAAGATCTCATTTCCTACGCGGAAAAACGTTCGACGAAGACTCTGCCAGCGCGAAGAACGCGCGGAGAGGCGAATTCACGGAAGGTCCACCACCTCGTAGTACTACGCTTACTGTTATCGACCAGCAGCCGAGGGTAAGACAATGTTTTGGATTTTTTAATTGAAAATGAAGATTTTTAAAACTTTTTTAAAATAAAAAAAAATTAAAATGCTGTCTTTCAGCCCATAAGTCGTCGGACCGACCACAGTCCATCGACCCACAACATCGACCGGATCGAGACTCGCATTGCCAATATCGAACGCATGTTACAGTTGCTGTGCAATCAACGACAAGGAGGTAATGGTTACCTAGACGTGTCTTAGGTACATTTTACACGCCATACCTTCAGGAAATTTGATGTTTGTTGTGTAGCACTTGATTTTCGTTTTTATTGGACTACTGTAACATAAGTTTTAGTAATGTAAAGCTAATTTTAGAATTTAACGTTACAGTGTGTTAAAGATTACTGTAACTTTTAGTACTGTAAAATTGTTTTCAGTACGTTGTACGTACTTTTTAGTACTTTTAAGGTTTTTTTATGTTACAGTATGAACTTATATACTTTTTTATTTTTAAAAACACACACTTTTACACTACTCACAAAATTTCCTGTATGGTACCTATTCATCCTACCCTCACATTCCCAATTATTCAGGCGCCACCCCCTCGACCTTACCCATGGATACGTACTCACAGTTTGGCGATGTCTCACCTTACCATCTTCCAGTCACCACCCAAGCCTCAATCGGCAACAATGTAACCCAACAACGACAAGATCCTCAAAACAGGACGGCGGTAGTACCACCACTGAATTTGTCCATGGAATCGTTGACACCGTACGCCGATGAGGATATTACGGTAACTTCGGGTTATGACGCGCAAACCGGTGCTTTGTCACCAATGTCACCCGGCCATTTGCCCATGATTAATATACAGCCGGAGAGTGGGAGAAGAACGCTGTCCGACCGGTCGACAAGCTCACAGCACACTGAAGAGTCGCCGCCGGAACGGCCGAGGAGGTAGCGGTATTACTAGGTAGAAAAGGGGGTATACTGTAGGAAGCTTATTGTATACTGTAGGTTTATGGTATAGTGTGAAACTTTGACGGTGTACTGTAAGGTTCATATGGTAATGACGGTATACTGTAAAGAACCTTATGGTAATGGTATACTGTAGGAATGTTATGCTATACTGTAAGAGGTTTATGGTATTCTGTAGCAAGTTTATGATAAGGAACGTTACAGGACCCTACAACAATATGTCATAATGCAGAATCATATTTTGTCCACAACCTTACACTGTCTTCATTTATTGCCTGTTTTTATATCTTGTTGCCCTATTGCCAACCGGTTGTTTTATTTCTCGACTGATCTCTCAGCAAACAGCAATAACATTACTGTCTCAACACAAACAAGTATATCGTTTCGTTTTTATCAATAATACTATTTTTGTAAACCTTTTTTTTGCAAGTGGTACTATAACAAAGGTGGGAATAGCAGTACAATAGTTTTGGTACTAGAGGCTTCTCAGCTTAAAATTGGGTTTTAGTACTATATTGTACTGATTAGTACCAAAATTTGTTTTAAGTATTACCGTTTTTCTGTCATATATATTATAGTACTAGTCAGTACCAGCAATTTTCTTAGTATTAGGCGCCGACATAAAGAACCCGCCATTTTTTACAGGAAATTACAGGTAAAGTATGGCGGGTTCTTTATGTCGGCACCTAATATCTCACGATTTTTTGGTACAGTTTGAAAATGGCCCAACCCAAAACATTCTCAATAGCACCACTTGCAACTGGTACCATTCCTTTCTCGGTTTCAAGTTCAAACTCTCTCTTCAAGACGAAGAAACAAGCGTTTTTCATTACGAATTTACGGGTTCGATGCGCTGAATAATTGTCTTTTTTGGGCCGATTTTACATTGTAATAGACCTTTGAATAATATTATCTTTCTGTATATTGAAAATAAATTGGAATACTAGAAGATTAGCTAAAAAATAGCAAGAATTGATATTTATTTTACATTGAAAAGCATTTTTTAATATATTATAGTAGATGAAACACCCGTATATTGATTGAAAATGACTAGAAACAGCGATTATATTAGGTGCCGACATAAAGAACCCGCCGTACTTTTCCTGAAATTTTGTGTAAAAAATGGCGGGTTCTTTATGTCGGCACTTAATAATGGGTTTTTGGGTATGAAAACTGGTCTTTGTGGTACTAAAACATATTTTGTGTAAAATCTCTGTTTTGGATAGTACTGTAACACCCATTTTGGTACAATAGAGTGTTTTTGGTACCTAAAACTTCAGTACCTTTGACTTTTTGATACTATCTTAAAATCTCAAAACTGGTACTATTTAAAAAATTTGAAAAATAGTACCATGCCACAAAATCACCTCCCCATACCCAAAACCCAAAGCTATGTCAACAAACTACAACAAAATTACAAAAACAATAGAAATGTCATGCTTAATGTCATGGATAATATACCCTCAAGTCGTGGTGAACTATTGTACCAACCCCAGTACGAATTATGGTAGTCGTACGAATTGTCGTGTCTACGATGTGATCTTGAATGGGTACGACGATGCGGATTTAGCGGCGCGTAACCGAAGCCACTACTGTAGCGCCATTCGTTGAAACAGGACTCAATGTTACAGTAATCCGCCGCGCAGAAACACCAATGCTCCCAGATTTCGTACTGTAATTTTTGGGTAAAATACGAAAGACTTATTTAGTAGAGGTTTTAATTTTTTTAGTCCTAATCACGGAAATTAGGCCGTGCAGCCTGCAAATGACATTTTATACGATAAAAGGTGTCCCATCACGCTATAAATTTTTCTTGACAAAACCATTACATAAAAATTTTTAACCACAGAAAAATCAACTTACCTTATCATAATTCCTAGGCAGGTAATGAGCAGTTTCCGACGGTTTGGACTGAACTCCCAATGACCTGCTCATATATTGCTCATCGGTCAAAAACTGACCAGAACAGCCGCGGCCAACGCCCAACGTTACTGTTAGACCCGTTTCCTTATCAGTTCCATTAACATAAAACACGAAACAACTTGTGGTGCATTTGTTGTAGGTATCGGGGAAGGATACCTTCTGTGAACAGGTATTGTCGGACGATGACAATTGGTAGTTGCGCTTTAGGAAATAATGGCGCCAGTTCTGAAAATTGTGGTTTTTGTGGTAAAATACGGATGAAGTGATATATGTAACGTTAAATAACTATTATGTTCGCCAATTTTAAAAAATTTCAAAATTAAAAAAAATTTTTTTTTTAAATTTGAAAAATCAAAAATTTTTAAAAATTCAAAATTTACTAAAAATATTAAAAATAGCCCTCCCCCCTCCCACTTTTTTCATATAAAATCCCTTACCCAAACAATAAAGTCATTGGCGCAAGTATAACAACTGATACTGCTACTCACCACCCCGAACCAAGAGTACAGTAGTAGTGTTATTAACCCGGTGAGTAGCATTGTTGATCATTCACGAACATTCGGAAGGCTTTCGAATCGTTTCTTGATTTTTGATCTAAAAATAGTATTGTAAATCATGGGTAATATAAAGAAGCATTTGTATTAGGCGCCGACATAAAGAACCCGCCATACTTTACAGAAAATAACAAGAAAAGTATGGCGGGTTCTTTATGTCGGCACATAATAATACTACATTTCAACGTAAAAACAACATTTTATAATAACTACACGGTGCAAAGGTATTATGTTTTTTAAAAGTTATAGTAATACAATAAAATGAGTAAATCGCGTGATAGTGTACGAAGTATGTGAGTATCATAATATAATACATTAGTTTTACACTACAAATTTCAAACTTATGACGTTTTTGAAAAAATTTCCGAAAAAGAACTACAAAATCACAAGTATCAGGTGCCGACATAAAGAACCCGCCATACTTCTCCTGTAACTTCCTGTAAAAAATGGCGGGTTCTTTATGTCGGCACCCCATAACATTTTTTTTATTAAAGTCATACCTATATTATGATATCAAAAACATTTTTAAAAGATAATTTACAATATATAGTATGTAAAAACCCTTTTATTGATGTTATATTACACTAGAGAGCTTACCAAATTCAGTGTGACAAAACAAAAACAAGAAAAATAAAAAAATATTAGGTGCCGACATAAAGAACCCGCCATACTTTTCCTGTAATTTCCTGTAAAAATGGCGGGTTCTTTATGTCGTTACCTAATACACTGTAATATTTAGTGTTTTGTCAATAAAAAACTTTTTTTTAATTTTTTTTTCATCCCCCCACCAAAAAATGTTAAAAAAATATTTAAAAATCCACCCCTACCAAAAATTTAAAAAAAATTTACCCCTCCCAACCAAACCCCAAAATTTTTTCCCAACACTGCCTATAATACTTGACTTTACCTATAAGGCCCAGGAAATGCTTGATTCAAAAACTATGTCATAACTCAAATGCACTAGGTGCCGACATAAAGAACCCGCCATTTTGTACAAGAAATTACAGGCAAAGTATGGCGGGTTCTTTATGTCTGCACCTAATACATTTGAAAAAGGCCAGTAAATTACTTGTCGCGCGAACCAGTAGAGCCATAATGTTTTTTCGAGCTCAAACAACTAATATATTCATAGCGGAAAAATAATAATAAAGCACGCCATCTGACATATTGTTCATGAACGGCTTGTTAAAATGTCACTCATTCGGCGGAAGTTTTGCACGGTTTTTAGGGCGTTTTTATGATTTTTGAGGTAAAATACGATGATTTTAGGTAAGTGTGTATAAGCCAAGGAATGGGGTATAAAGGGTAGAGTAAGACTCTAGGACTATGTTAAGTTACGACATCAACAAAAATTTTTAAAAAAAGCATTAAAACAACTAAAAAATTATATAAATCGCGTACAACATAAAGAAATCGACCGGTAAAGTTAGTCCGGGGACTTATGGCGCACCCTGTATTAAACATAACAAGGAAAGTGCCCGACCTGCCCCGTCTTGATTAACTTTAAACTTTTTATATAGAAAGATCATGTAAATATAAGATCTTGAACAAAATACTAAATCGCACTTTCTAGGAAATCACGAGATAATCGAGATCAGAAAATTACGTTTTGAATTTCCCGCCAAATTGGCATTGTGTTTCAAGCTTATAACATTGCCATTTTTTGACTTTTCAGAATTTTTTCTTTGATATACTAGTAGAATACCTTTAAAAAGAACCTACATTTTTAAATTTGTAAATTTAGCATGGCTGGAAAGCCAAAAAAAGTGTTTGAAACAGAATGCCAAATTTGCCAAATTAGCGGAAAACCAAAATAATTCAAATTTAAAACTCAAGAGGGCAAGCTAAAATTTTTTATAGGTACTATTGGTGGTACAAAGAATTCATAAAAAAAATTTGAGCTGACTCTGAGTGGGGCAGGTTGGGTATTTTCCTTTTAAATTACGGTATCAACAAAAAAATTTTAAAAATCTCTAAAACTGTTATCAATTTAAAATTATGAGACCGTTTATACCAAGAAATTACTTAAAATATCTACCAAAAATTATCCCCTCTAAACCACAAAAAGATTACTTTTCCCTAATCCCATTCAAAAATTGAAACAGTCCAGTCCATAATGGCCAATCCTGATTACCGAATGCATTTCCAATGTGAATGGTTTACGACTCTCGGCCGCGGCGAAAACGAATTGCTTGGGAAATGACCTTTCAGTCAAGGACCGCCTTAAACATCCCTTAAATTGTTAAACAGGCCCTGGGTACGAAAAGTGGTGAGCCGTAGGTTTTGGAGTTACAGAGTAAGGGAATGGGTATGTCTAGAGCCCTGTAGATTTTTGAAAAAATTTTTTTGCACCCGCCTTCAGACCAAAAGTCGCCCGGCCCTGGGCATGTCAATGTAAAATTTGACATTTTCTGGCTTTCAAAAACGACCTTTTCAAAATTGATGCAAAAAGAATGGCGCATACTAAAAATCAACCGAAAAACCTTAAAATAGAAAAACTAGTCTAACAAACTATAAAATGTCAGTCTACAACATGTTTTTATAAAAAAATATTTCAGGTAGACGTGTACATACGATAATGAAGCCTCATTACCGCCATTATCACACTGAAAGCTGTGTAAGACGACTTTAAGTAAACAGTAACAAGTAAACAACAGAATCAAGAATTAAGCCAAAAATAACAAAAAACAGCTACTTTTAAGTAGAAAAAAATTTAGGCTGTATAAATAAATTAAAAATGGCAGGGTAAAAAAATTTAAAATAGGGGTGGATAAATTTTTTAAAATTTATTTTTAATTTTAAAAAATTTAATAAATTTATGTAACTTTTGTGTTAGTTATAACAAAAACAGTGATTAAAACTGTCAACTTTAAGTCCCACCACGAAAATCAGGCAAATCAAGGCAATCGCTACCAAATAAGCATTATTAGTATTTTTAAAGCCAAAGCAACAAACTAACCTAATACAAACATTTTTAAACCCTTAAAAACGCAAAAAATAACTTTTTATTACCTAAAAGTAATATTCCTACTATACTTGTACACCACTACTAACCATGTGTAACAACGTCATTCCGTATGCATAACCCGATAGAACCCTAATCCAATGGCCAATATCAAATTATGTTGCAAGTGCAGGTTAAAAAACCAACTTTTATGCCGATGCCATAAATATTACATTAAGTAAGCAGTAAAACAATGGCAAAAACAGGCGGGCGGTTATTAGGCATTCATATTGCGATAGTTGGTCAAATTTGTTGTCATAATTGTGACGAGGCACGTTTTTGTGCTTTCTGGAAAGTTTTGGGCATAAACGTTAGAAAGGTATGGGTAGGACGCTAGGGTGAAACGTATTAAAAGGGGTGGACCAACATTTTTTTTAAATTTAAAATTTTTTGACCCCGTTTGTCCTGCCTCTTCCAAACAGTGTGTTGCCCCGACCGGTCCGGCGCATTTTTCACCACTCCAGTCCAGCAATTTTTGGGCTCGGTCCAGTCCAAACTTCAAGTTTTTGTGTCCGGTCCGTCTCAAACCCAAAATCTTTGGGTCCAGTCCAGTCCGTTCCGCAAAAATTGTTGTTGGGTCCGTCCGGTCCAAAACACTGTTTCCAAATATAGGCCCACCTACTACACCAAATTTAAAAAATTCGAAAAAATCCCAATTTCAACCCATTTTTTCAGAAAGCACACCCAATAAAGTAAAGAAGCTGCCAATCCACATTGACTACCTGCTTATTTACCGACTCAAATACTTTGTTTTTGCATGTGGGCTAGTAAAAAACGCACCAATTCAGTAAAACAAAAGTCAATCACGCAGAAATTTGTATAGTTAACTTGGGATTCGGATTAGATGGTTATTTTTACTGGCGAATGTAGTTTTACAGTGTAAATAACTTTGTAAAATGTTAATTGTAACAAAATCCCGTAGGCAAGGGTAAGACAAAATAGAATAGGGTAGTACAAGATAAGATAGAGTAGGGTAAGCAGGAAAGCGCAGGGCAGAGCAGGCAAGGCAAGGCAAGGCAAGGCAAGGCAAGGCAAGGCAAGGCAAGGCAAGGCAAGGCAAGGCAAGGCAAGGCAAGGCAAGGCAAGGCAAGGCAAGGCAAGGCAAGGCAAGGCAAGGCAAGGGTAAAGTAGGGTAGGGTAGCGTAGGGTAGGGTAGCGTAGGGTAGGGTAGAGTAGGGTAGGGTAGGGTAGGGTAGGGTAGGGTAGGGTAGGGTAGGGTAGGGTAGGGTAGGGTAGGGTAGGGTAGGGTAGGGTAGGGTAGGGTAGGGTAGGGTAGGGTAGGATAGGGTTTAAAAATTCTAAACAATCATCTAAACTAACCTTATTTCTTCAAACAAAGTAAAATACCACCTCGTACTGGCCTAATCTACATATCTCCGCCTAATCCACAAGTCCTCAAAACCGCGCGAAGCCATGTAAATTATTCAAAAAAAGGGGGGAGAAGACTCGACTGAAGATACTCTATTCACTTACTCAAATATTTTAGAACTTGAAGAATTTGCTACGCTTCAAAAAACTCATTTTCACAGCCTGGCTTTGTTTGCATTTGCAACGATATGGGGGGATTTTTAGGATTCTAATTTTGGGTTTGGCAGTTTTTTTTGGCCAAGTAAAATTTTCTTTTTAAATTTTTTAAAAATTTAAAATATAATATAAGTTAAAGTTCTACGGAAAGCTAGATATAAGATATTTGCAAAAGTACATCGGAAATGTAATAAAGCCTCCTAATTTAACAAAGTCTAAAAGTTTTTTTTTGAATCGGAAATTTCTTTCAAATAGTGCATTTTTATTTTGAATTATCTAAAAAATTGCTGTTAATTATGATATACGTACTCAAACTGCCAAATTTTATATATAAGTAAAGTGTGGTTCCATATAAAGGTAAGAAACGAACCGGGCCAGGCCCAGAATTAAAGCCCGGCCCGTTTTCACTTTTACCTCAGACCGGCCCGTCTTGAATTTTTTTACGTGCAAGCGAGCC